CAATTCTATTCCACAGCCCTGAGCTGAGGCGGGCCCCTCTCTGACTTTGGTAGGATTTTCAGCGGGTTTTTTTTACACTTGTTTGACATTCAAATGTAGTCCTGCTTTTATAACGGTGTGTTCAACCTAACTCGTTAGGAGAAACAATACATCGCATTAAATGTTAAAGGACAAATGCTTTAAATCTTGCTCAGAATATTATAACCTCAGCCCAGTAAGCCAACACAGTACTTTTTGGTTCACTACAGGTACTAGGTATTTGACTCGCTCATTGTGTAGTATTGTTTAAATAGAATAATTTTAAAAAACCATATATTCTGTAAAAATAAATATAAAGGGACATAAGAGAATATTAAAAAACCACATGTTTTGTGTTGTTTTACATATTTATATATATTTTTTCAAATAAAATATAGAGTCTCACAGTGGTGTTGGAACACATGTTTTGTAAATGTGTTGTTTTACATATATTTTTTTTTCAAACAAAATATAGAGTCTCACAGTGGTGTTGGGTAGATTTCATGATTCACTGTTATATTTAATTTATTTAAATATAATTTATGAAAGATTATATTCTGGCTGTACTTGTAAAACCTGTCATGTTTTATGTATTATATTTTATCTATTTAAAGTTTGTTTCAGAAAGCTGTCTCGTCTTTATAAGTAGATTTACTGTAGATTCTTAGTAACTTGCATTTACTAATGACCCCTTAGCATATGCCAATGAGAGGGAAAATCCTGATATGTATTCTTTATGGGCCAAGTAAATGATGAAATGGTGCAAGTCAAAAACATTAGAAAAGTAAACTGTACAAAGTGCCAGAAAAAAATGCATACATTAGAAAAGAATTTCCGTGATTTGTGTTGTACCGAATAGTGGACAATCCAGTTTTCTTTGTTTGCTTAGCAGTGGCATGAGAGCCAGTCTGCAGCTGCTGTCATACCAGTTTCGTTTATACCAAGTATCTATCTAATAACTATACCACTTATGCATATTAGTAAAATGCTGGATTAAATCAACCTGACAAATAATTCATAGAACCCAGTTATAATATCTGTAGCCAGTGAAATGACACATTTAACTTCAATGTGCTGGATATAGTCTGGTTAGGTAACAAGGACACATTATATGGAGATATTTGGTCAGTGAGTAGTTCACTGGGTCACAACTGCACTGAATATTTTGAAGATCCAAATGTCAGGGCTCACAGCTAATTTTAGTTGGTGGTAGAGGTGGGCAGCTCGGCTGACATTGGAGAGAAGTTGACCTGGGAGGATCTCTGACTTACACACTCTTCACACTTGAGGATAGGGTAGTTGATTGTCTTGACAAGTTCACATCAACAGTCAGTGTATACAGTAAAAATTCATATATATTCAAATATATTTAGTAACTATTAGCTTGGACGAGATTCTTTTTGTTTATGAGGAGAATACTATACTCAGGAGGGTTGGAAGATGTCAAAGTGTTATTTTCTAAAAATGTGTCCAGTGCAGGAAAGTGCTTTTATGCACAAATATGTGCCCAAAAATGTGCCTCGACTGCATGTTTGACCCCTGCCTCTTTTAGTATGTCCCAATATTATTACGCAATCCTCTCTGGAAAATGTGTTTACCTAATGATCCACAAAGAGAACATCGGGTGCTCACTACGTAGGTGGCTGACCAACTGTTGTGTCTTTGTGTCTGCTCCTCACCAGGTGGAAATTAATCTCTATTGCACTCTTGCCTGTGCATTCAGCGGACCCTCAGACATGTCCGTTACATATCAGCTGTTCAGGGGATTACCCCGAACCAAGGTCTTCCTTCCCGCCTCGGCCCTGTTACCATGCCAGCAGCCCCAGAGCCACCAGGCACCTGCCTCTCACAGACCTGCCTCAGGTCGACAGCACAGAAGAAGTTACCAGATGTCCTCCGTCCTCCGCAGCTACATCCTCACACCCCCGCAGGTCAATTCTATTCTCAAAGCCAACGAGTACAGCTTCAAGGTATGTAGGATGACGCAACTAAACAGATGAACATCTCTGCGTGTTAGATTTTGTAGTGTGACGTGTAGGTGTTCTTAAAGGTGCCAGAGTTTGATGGGAAGAATGTGTCGTCAGTGATGGGTTTTGAGAGTAACCAGCTGCCAGCCAACGCCCCCATAGAAGATCGTCGCAGTGCAGCCACCTGTCTGCAGACCAGAGGGATGTTACTGAGTGTGTTTGATGGCCATGCTGGCTGTGCCTGCGCTCAGGTATAAACCCCTGTCAACTACATCAGTTCTCATCTTTTACTTGCATTAATTTGTTCATGTTTCTTGCAACAGAGCCTTTGGAAATGGGACTTTATTAAGTTTTCCATTCATAAAAATGTAATAAATAAATAAATAAAAATTATCAAATAAATAAAATTATAAATACATTTAATTTTTTTTTAAAAAGTCTTTAAAAAATTAAACTTAAAATTCAAAGAGAATAAATAAAGAATTCAACTTAAAATTCAAAGAGAATAAATAAAAAAAGACTTGTTGACTTTAAGACAACACCATTACAAACATATGGAACTTTCCTCAGGGCTTCACAGAAATTACATTTCCTATACCAGGAAAGTCCACATAATTTTAATAGACCTTAGATTGAGACTGCTTCTCAAAATATCATTGCTAAAGTTACACAACTTTTTTTTAAATTATTTGAGTCACCATAGTGTGTATGAAGCTGAACAATGATTAGTGACCAGTGTAAACTCATAATAATTACTGCTAATTTTAACACTGTCTTTGCACTTGCACTCCAACTTTTCTGCCCTATTGTCAGGCTCTGGGTGAGAGGTTGTTTTACTACATTGCTGTGTCTTTGCTGCCACACAACACACTGTGTGAACTGGAGGCAGCAGTGGAGTCCGGCAGGGCCCTCAGTCCCATCCTGCAGTGGCACAAACATCCCAACGACTACTTCAGCAGGGAGGCTCAGATGCTCTACTTCAGGAGCTTGCGGACATATTGGCAGGAGTTAATTGATCTCACCAGGTAAGGCCTGTAAAAAATGTACTCAAAGATCAGGGATATACAAGTTCAGAGGTTGAGGAATACTGGAGGGAAATTATCTGGATTTCTAGTTTTCAGCTCCATGTTTGGGCCCCCCACACACAGGAACACTAGTTTGTTTTGCCATCGGTTTAGATGTCGGTCACTGTGTCAACCTCTGGCCTCAAACCTTTTCATCTGTTTCTTATTTTAGCCCAGGAGAGGTCCCGGACACCCGTGAAGCTTTACTGAGTGCCTTCAAGAGACTGGACAATGACATTTCTCTGGAGGCTCAGGTGAGCAGTCTGTCTGGCGGCATTTTTCTATTTTTCATTTTAAGGTGTTTTTGTTCATAAATAGGCCTGAAACTAGATTTTCAAGCAAATTGTCATATTGCACTCTAAACCTGATGTATTTTCACCTTTTTGTTAAAATCTTTTTTCTTTCGCCATATTTTCTTCGCCTTTTTTTTGCGGCTGTGTGGGATTAATAATTTTAAATCTAATCTAATAATCTCACATATGTTTTGACATTTAGTCAATTTACAGTTTTTATTAATGCATTAAAAACCTTTTGCAACATCATTTAGATGAACTCACTTGAAACATAAATTGTCAATTTATTATTTTTTATTGTGTTGCAGGTTGGAGATCCAAATGCTTTCCTCCACTACTGGGTTCTAAGAGTGGCCTTTTCTGGAGCGACAGCATGTGTGGCCCACATCGATGGATCAGACTTGTACGCACCATTAATGATTACTTTATTTCAATCAAGAAATTTAAAAGCCTTTTTTTCATCAAAAAGTTCTAGGCCAACCTTTGTTGTCCTGTTCATAAAGGTTTATAGCCAATGCAGGTGATGCTCGGGCGGTTTTGGGCGTGCAGGAGGAGGATGGCTCGTTCACTGCTCACACACTCTCCAATGACCACAATGCCCAGAACGAAGATGAGGTGTCACGGATACGGGGAGAGCACCCTCCATCAGAGAGGAAGACAGTGATACGACAGGTGAGTTCACAGACTTACCTTCACTCCTCCAAGCTCCTGAGTCTGTTGGTCTTTAAAACATTTTTTTTTTTATCACTCATCAGGACCGGCTGCTCGGCCTCCTCATGCCTTTCCGTGCTTTTGGCGATGTGAAGTTCAAGTGGGGTATTGAACTTCAAAAGCGTGTGTTGGAGTCCGGCCCTGATCAGCTCCACGAAAACGAACACACCAAGTTCATACCACCCAACTATCACACACCACCCTACCTGACGGCGGAGCCCGAGATCACGTACCACAAACTAAGGCCACAGGATCGATTTTTGGTGAGAGAAGAAGTGGATTAACCAATCAGATGTTCTTTCTTCTCACAGGAATATCAACTTCAGCTCTGGAGACAAACCTGTTTAGTTAAATCAAAAATAAGGACAGTGGTCCAGAAATTGACCTTTGCAGACCAGTTTATATTTTTGTCTTCAAAACATTTACACAGTTTACATAAGTTTTTATTTTAAGTTTTGTTCATCTTCAGATCCTACAGAATTTTGCTTCTGATTCTTTTGCATTTTACTTGTTTACTCTGCAGGTGATTGGCTCTGATGGCCTCTGGGAAACGCTCCATCGACAGGAAGTGGTTCGTATCGTGGGGGAGTATCTGACCGGAGTACATCAGCGTCAGCCACTTAAAGTCGGGGGCTACAGGGTCACCTTGGGACAGATGCAGGGGCTCCTGGAGGAGAGGAAGGCTCGTTTGTCCTCGGCTTTCGAGGACCAGAATGTGGCGACACACCTGATGCGTCACGCAGTGGGAAACAACGAGTTTGGTACGGTGGATCATGAGAGGCTGTCCAAAATGCTGTCTCTGCCTGAGGAGCTGGCGCGCATGTACCGCGATGACATCACCATTATCGTCGCCCAGTTCAACCCCCACGTGTTTGGAACACAGAGACCAAATGAAGGTTCCTGAGCCGACGTCATGATGACGGGGACACAGGCTTGTGTAAATATTTACTGCAGTTTCACACATAAGCACACACTCTGCGGACAAACAGGTTGTACTGAGTTCACACGTACAACTTTGTTTTAAACTCTATGGATGTACAGAATTTGTATGTTTTTATTTAGCGTTGCCCAGGAAAAGGACTGAAGTTTCCAACGTTGCCTTATTTATGACAATATTCTCTGTTAATCTGTTTCTTTACAGGTTGGTGAGATGCTGTTACAAAGTGATTTCTGTTGCTGTTCTGTTGATGTTACAACATCTAATTTCTGTGACTGAAATTCCACTGAAAGTGGGTAAAAGTTATTTTTCTTTCTTTCTTTCTGTCTTCCAAAATCCATTCCCCTGTTTTTGGCCTGCAGCCTCGGTGGTCTCTGAAGGACTGACCACCAGTGTTGCATCGCCACCATGGTGGTAGTTGGTACTGCAGGGTAAAGTCATCTGCATTTCAGGCTGTTCACCAAATAACACGGCCAGTAGCTGTGACACCTTTTGACAATCTCTAGCTGACAAGTGAACCCAACAGATGAACCGAACCTGCACAACAATCAACCTCTTACCATAAACACACTACTTTTACTGTGAGTTTGGCATTTGAATTTTTAAAACCTTAAAAGAGTGTTTTCAGAGAAAAGCAGTTGATAATTCAGTTTTAGAAAAAGCCCCCAAAATTTTAACTTTTATCATATTCTTTTGAAGAGCTTTCCAAAGTTTTCCATCATTGTTTCATGTTTGTTGTCTTTTTCATTTTTTACACGTTCAAGTGCGATTCACTTGACATTAAGACTGGAGGTAGTATCAACATATATAACATATGTTTGTCCTAGAGCAAAAGGATGAATAAAAACAAAATACTGCATTATTTTTATTAAGATTAGAGTCCAAACAGTGATTGTAGACAAAGAATATTGTTTTTCTGTTACACAGACTCACCTTCTCAGCGTTTTCTCAAATGTTTCAGTTTTTTTCCCCAAGTGCTTGAGAAGGAATGAGGATCAGTCTTCTACAGCTCGCCTTAGGACCAGGTTACAACCTGTAACCATGGAGCAAAAATAGACAGTGTGTCATTTTTAAAGGGTCACCAGCCACACGAAGGTTAAAACCTCAGAGCTGGATGTTGACTGTATATTAAAAATAATAAGAATTAACTCTAAACAGAAATATTCCCAATTTTTTTTGTTACGCCATTACTTGTTGACATTAGACTACACTTTACTTCAACAGTTAATGGTGCTTTAACTGATTGAGGATGTAATAGTGTGATGTTCCCACCAGTTTGGAGCAGACGAACACGCTGACCTTTTCCACCATCCAACTCGGCTCAGTGTTTATGAGGGAGGTAAAAATACAGCGTGTTCTTTACCAAGCTTAGGTGTCTTTAAATGAATCGTGTTTTTCTGAAAGGTCGTCATCAATTTGGACAACAGTAACTCAAAGTTATTAATAATGGTGACGGTACACAATGAGATACTTACCTGTGAACAACACTGACCCTTGTGTACTCAGGCAGAAGTACAGCTATTGGAATATTGTGAGACCTTATAAGTTATTTATTTTGCTTTAATGTGTCACATGTGTATATCTGGACATGTATAAAATGTAACTGATCTGAATTATGTTTTATATGTTGAGAGGCTTTAATAAAACCCCGGAGAACTACCAGCTGCAGCCACAGTTTGTGTCTGTGTTCTGATGGATGACCCAGGGTTTGGAAGTAAACACAGCTGGAACACGACACAATGTTCCAGTTGCAGGAACTGATGGCCACGCCACCTTTTTTACAAGGTAATACTCACTGCTAAGCCCACGTCAATGTGGCAAGCTATTTCCTATTTATGCCTAAATATCACCAACGATTGATCAGATGTAACACACTATACTAATAGGTTCCTAAAAAATAAGTTTCTAAAAAAAAGTGATTTTTTTGTGTCATTTTTGGTCAAAAACTATTAACTAACTAAAAATATTTGAAAATTGTCATAAAAACATTTCTTTTCCTGCATGTTTCTCATCAAATTAGGGCATTTAGTAAACATTTTTAGAAATTTATTTTTATAGTGAGGACACTCCTCAGATCCTCATTATTGCTGTTTGACAAGGACTGGGACAGACCCAGGGACCCTCAGTCAGGGTCAGAGAGTCCCTGTGACCTCTGACCCAGTCTCTTTTTTTTTTCAAAACATCAACACGAGTAATTTATTTTATTATTCTTGAAAATTTTTTATTAAAAAAACATTTTTCAAAAAAATTTTTTTAATAAAAATTAGAAATCAAGAATCAAGAAAAAAAAGACTCCAAGTCCAG